AAACCTGTGAGGTGGAACTGTTGTATCTTCTGCTACCACGAAAAACTGACCTACTGTCTGCCTTCTACACCAGACCAAGAGAGTCAAACTTAAAGAGGATCTGTAGTGGTATAACGACCATACTGTAGGAGCTGACGGCGCAGTGAAGATATGCTTCATTATCTTTGAAGTTATTTTGACATGAGAAATGTAATAAAGGGTGAGAGGGTGCGGCTACCACCTAACACCGCCCATTACCACACTGGGAGGTACCAAGTAACTGTCCGGCTGTGTGATGAGAGACTTGAGCAAAAGGTCAGTAACTACAGACCGGTTCCCATCTGTCGATCACTGATAGTTTATGGAGACAACAGTGTACTACCGGATGATAAATGTTACTGATGACCTCAACGACCCACCAACGACCTCAACAATGACCATTTAAGAACTATTGCCATAAATAACAGAACTCGGCTCAAATGACACTGAAGTAGAAACGAATTGCCAACAGTCACACACAGAGCGAGGGTAACATTTTGGTGCTGCGGGGTAACACACACACAGCAGGAGAGGCAACACCGAGGAACAGGTACAGTAGTGTGAAGGACAGTTATACGGAGGAAGAAAAAGAGTGTGTTTTACTCTTAACTAATTAACAAGATTCTGCGTATAAAGAACTTGTTTAAAGAATCTAGGGAAGCTGAGGTGGAGTGGTCGCTACACCATTTATATAAAGTCCACCTCACACTACACCACATAGTGTGATGGTAACTTTATACAGTACCACCTACGGGAGGGAAGAGGGAGAGGCAGTGTAAGTAAGCGGGTGTTGTATACATTTGCGGATGTGTATGTGTTTTGTGTCGCCTTTTAGTGATATGGTGTGTGTGTGTGTGTGTGTGTGTTACGTTCATGTATGTTTGTATGAGTTTACCCATGTGTGTACGGGAATACACGTTAGTTATCAGACATAAGTTACCCCGTGAAGGTTATCTGTCTGGAGTAATTTACATAATGTTAAAATAAGTCAACCAGAATATTTACCGAGATATGTAGAATAAATCAGTAGTCTCTGACGTCATGATAAGCGATGCAGACCTTTCTTGTCCTGACGACGCCTCACTACCCACGACTACTGGAATTAATTTGTCGTGCCGAGTTTCACACTTTGTTAGCGTCAGCGGCCGGCAACCTTCCTGGCGGTACAGTGCTGTGGTGACGTCATCTTGCAACAGACATACTCCCAACAAACACATTCACTTAATTAGGCCAACTAATATGATCAACAGCCGAGATATGGACGAGTGATGGCAGTATCTCAACAGCAGACTACACTCTACCTTCCCTGGTTCTGCCACCAACCTCGTGACCAGTTTCTGCCGTACACTAGTGCAGCGCAACGTCCCAGTACTCACCAGAGACAATATTTTATCATTCTGGCGGAGAATTTTGCTGTAGTGAGAAGTTGGCGGTGAAATCATCTTTGGTTAGACCGTTAAATCCTGTTAGGAAGGATTTTATCCGTGTTAATCTTCACCCGCACACATGAGGCTCCCCATTGTCTCTACTCTTGTAACAAAACGGGGCGCTGACACACTCATTTACCCGCTGATTAATCTTGGTTCCTAAGGCTTAGGTATGAGTGTGGTGATGCTACACACACACACACACTCACACACACACTCACACACACACACACACACACACACACACACACTCACACACACACACACAAAAACACACACTCACTCACACACTCACACACACACACACACACACACTCATACTTCGCGTAACATGTGTACCTGCGTGAGACGATGCAGACAAGTCAAATACTCCTAAAAGAAAATAATAACGAATGAATATTTTCCATTGTTATAAAAGCTAATGACCGCTACACTCTCTCTAAAAATACGGGATCATGTATAACTAATCGACATGACTTCTGGGACGGCGGCGGCAAATAAATTAACATCCAATTCAGGTTTTCTCATCACACTATCATGGTCCTCAACACTGTAAGAACACACCTTAACACAATAGCATATAATTACGCATTTTGTAAGAACCTGGAAAGTTATACTACATATATGACAGTTCACTCTCTACCCTGCCATCCACCGACTCTTTTAAAATAAAAATCACACAGTCAGGTGGAGTGAGATAATGAGGGACCTGGGAGCGTGACGGAGGGAGGTAGGTAAAACCCCTTCTGGCCCCTTGTGTACCTCCTGCCTGGGTCATCTCACTGTATACACAACACTGCCACCTGATCTTTATATATAATTAAATCTACCAAACATGAGTGGAAATGTTGGTTCTATAACAGTATACTTTCTCTTCATGAACATTAAGCGCTGTTACTGCACAATAAAAGAGGCGAGGATACTCCCCCTCACAATCACCACGACGCCGCCACCATTCCCCGCCATTACTGATGATCGCCAACGCGTGACGATGTAAAACTTTCCTAATTACGGTTTGGCTGTAAAGTGGAAGCCAAGTCTCCAGTTACAAATGTGACTTAGTTATATTTGATAGTCCAGCCAACGTACCACAAATTACATATAACACCAAAGCCCCTGAAAATTTAAAGGACTCTATGACATATCTATTTTTCGGTTCTGTCACCTAAAATTTGAAGTAAAATATTCGTCCCTTGAGCTTGATATCTGGTGTTCCTGGTGGTGGCGTCGGTTCGGTTCGGTTCATTTAATTCCATTCTACTGGTTCGTCGCTTATCATATTATGTACACATCTTCATTAACTCCCCGAGTACAATGACACTTCCCAAGTATAATAGCAATTCCTTGAGTGCAATGGCAACCCTAGGAGTACAATGGCAACCCCAAGAGTACAATAGCAACCCCTTGGGTACAAAAGCAAGCCACTGAGTACAATTGCAACCCTGAGTAAAATGAATTAACTCACAACAGAATATATATTAATCCCTTCATTAACCCCTTGAGTACAATATATTCTCTTTAGTAAGATGTCATCGTACTAACACAGAGTCCATCATCACCGGGGAACAAGTGCAAGGAGATCCTCTTTGAGACAACCGTGTGACGTCATTTTCACTTTGTTTTGATACACAACCGACGAGCGAGTATAGGACCAAAATTACCATAATCCTAACCTAACCTAAACTAACCCAACCTAAAACTAACCCAACCTAAAACTAACTCAACCTAAAACTAACCTAAACGTGTTGGAATTTCGTGAATATAAATGACACCAGCAGATGAGGTTTGATATTTAAGGAGGAGTCAGAGGGTGTTGGGGTGTGTTAGGGGGTGTTGGGGTGTGTTAGGGGGATGTTGGAGTGTGTCATGGTGTGTTGAAGTATATTAGGGGTGTTGGAGTGTGTCAGGGGGTGTCGGAGTGCGTTACGGGGTGTTGGAGTGTGTTAAGATGAGCATTGGAGTGTGTTAGAAGGTGTTGGAGTGTGTTAGGGGGTGTTGGAGTGAGTTAGAGGGATGACTACTGAATCTCTCCCCATTTCTAATTAATCTCCCTCTGACAAATTAATCACTACATAACTTTTTCCTTACGGTTCACTAATTTCCCCTAAATCACATACCTAAATTTTCTAAGCTCACCAATAATTATCCCCAAATCCCCCTAGAATTCAGCAAAATTTTCCTAAAACCGTTAAAAAAAATCCCTTTACCCTACAAAAATCCCCTTAAAAAATTGCAAATGTTTATAAATATTAAAATCTATGAAATACTTTAAACTCAACTTCCTCTTCCGTCAAGACCAGTGAATTCATTGGTGTTGCCCAGTTGTGTCGCCTCCCCTCCATACCCGACCTCACCGTCCTAAGCAGCTGCTGTCGTGTCCCCCCCCTAGCCTATCCCAGCCGTTATACCTTTCCTTAGCCAGACTGTTACTCCATACACCGATAAGTCTCCCATAATACCTTCCTTAATGAGTTACACCTTTATTTTTATTACCTGTTAGACCACCTCACTGTCTCCTCTCTACCCCCGACCAACAGTTCATGCATCAAAACAAAGCCTACGTCTTATAGGTGACGTTATTATTGTTGTTAAGCGAGACACAACACAAGACCAGACGGGTTCTTAGGGAGAAAGGACACGGGGCCGCCTCTGTGCTACGGTCTTTATGATTAGGTGGTTCTTAAGGTGGGGGGGTGGAGGTCGAGGGAGGGAGGGGGTGGTGGAGGGAGGGAGGAGGAGAGAGGGAGGATGGTGGTGGAGGAGGAGAGAGGGAGGGAGGGAGGATGGTGGTGGAAGGAGAGAAATTGATGGGGGTAATGGTGTGGACGGAGGGAGGATGATGGGGGAGGAAAGGGGGGATGATGTTGGAGGGAAGGAAAGAGGATGATGGGGGGGAGGGGGAGAGAATGAGGGAGGGGCAGAGGTTGTCAACAGCTTCACCACCAGCGGCTCCTTCACCTGCCAGCTCCGGTGATGTAGGGTCCAGGTACAGTGTTACGTCCTCAGTCCACGCGACACATTACAACACAAATAGTAGTAATCCACCCTCCAGGATACGCTTCACATGTTAACAGCTTGAGATATTTATATAGAGAAAATATAATACTCTCGTAATTCAATAACTTGTAGAAATAGTACAGTAATAATATATTTAATTAAGTAAATAAATTCATGAAACTAAGGGAAGGGTTATAATGCCGTAGCCTAAAACAAAAATATTTAGGATAATCCAAACTCAGAAATAGACTCACAGGGAATGTTTTATTTTACAAAATCACAAAAGTCAAAAATATAAAAAAAGGAAGACTAGAACCAAATGGAGTAAAATAAAGGATAAGTGTGTAGAAGAAAATGTAAAACGGTGTGTGTACTGTGTGTGTGTGTGTGTGTGTGTGTGTGTGTGTGTGTGTGTGTGTGTGTACTGTGTGTGTGTGTGTGTGTGTGTGTACTGTGTGTGTGTGTACTGTGTGTGTGTGTGTGTGTGTGTGTGTGTGTGTGTGTACTGTGTGTGTGTGTGTGTGTACTGTGTGTGTGTGTACTGTGTGTACTGTGTACTGTGTGTGTGTGTGTGTACTGTGTGTACGGTATGTGTGTGTGTACGGTATGTGTGTGTGTGTGTGTGTGTGTGCTAAGACTTACACACTAGTTAAGTAGCACTATATTGTACTGATATCAGCAGCTTCCATATAAAACAAAATGTACAAAATGTATTTATTTTAGTGATGAATTAATCTTACAGAGACTTGTAAACGATCGTTTATACACACTGTAAGACTAACACGAAATATCCACCATAAGTCCATTAAATAATAGTTTATATATTTCTAAAATAAAATTGGTGAAAACAAATTAGGTTTTCTTTGAATAGTTGAGGCAGCCCATCTACCGCACACTCCACGCTGGTAGGGTGTACAGTACAGGTAACCCCCACTACACGGCTGGCTGCCTCCTGGGCCATAATAAAATATCTTGGCTTCAATATTTACATTTCTACAACACATCCACAAGCAGACACTTCGGGGAATACACTGTAAAGCCATTTATTATAAAAAATCCTTTATGTCCATCTAGAAATCCACGCAAATAAATTTCCAAGATGAAACTACTTCTTGTCAAATTAAAGTTGTCTACTGAGGTGTTCATCAGATTATTAAGTCAGCGAAACATTCGTTAAATACTTGACATAACAAGACTCACTCCAGTTCATCAACACTCCACTGTGAGGACAACAAAAAGTAAATAGTCAATTATCTATCTTGTGTCCAATGTATTTACTAAAACATAAAAAAAACCTCAGAAGTTCACATCGAGAACCAAGTTTTACAACAGTTTTCTCTTTCTGTTTCGAAAAGTTTTCTACCTGCAGGAGGACCACCATAGCGTCGAGGTGTTTTCTATTAGAGGCGGTCACAGGATGCTGGGCCACTTACACGGCACAGACAAACATCACTGGCTCTCTCTCGCTCTACCACAGACAAACGCCAACACAGTCTATACGTTTCACCCAGCAGCGGACATCCCTTCTAAAACACACAGTCCTCCTCCTATTGTTACTCCCGCTGCTTGTGTCTCCAACAACTTCAGCCTGTAGGTCACATCAAGGACACCTTCTATACCTCGTAGACTACTGTATATTTTTCTTGGTCGTATAGCGTTACATCAGGGTGGGTGAGGCCTCAGGTGCCAACACCCTCGGGATGACCACCACATGAGGAGGCAGAGGTCAGTGTGTCTTGTTTTATTCCATCTTGTCCAACTCATCACAGGATTTTGACTTGGAAGATCTGAAAGTACACACAACATACTGGCTAATAAGTACATCAACAACTTGTAACTCCAGCTACTGGACTGACTCGACAACAGTTACCAGGAAACAGCAGGCACTAACTCACTCCACAGCCCCTCTCGTCGCTCCGGATACTACTGTTGCAATATACAGAATATATTCACGTCATTACTTGTTCGAACATTATACTAATCTGAAACTATTTTTTTCTATATTTTCATGAGTTTCAAACAATCTTACCATCACTTACCATTAAAATGAAGAACGTCTTTAGTACATCTTAATACTGTACTTTTATAAGTTCAAAATATATAAATAAAATATGTCAAGCGTGTACCAGTATATTTAAAAATATTCAAATTACTTTCAAAATAATCAAAATATTTATAAGATGATAAGTTTACAACCAAGAATGATTATATACAATAATGGAGAGAGTCAAAGGTGTGCAGAGGTTACCTGTAGTGACTCCTGGTGACCTACAACAACTGACGAGATCAAAGTGTTCCTAAGTTAAATACATAACACCTAACGTGATTTAAGTGTTCCTAAGTTAAACGTAGTGTTCATAAGTTAACTACAGTTTTACAGGTGACCAAAATTTCGTAAAATAGATCAATATTGTTATTTCAGGGTCAGCTTCAAGAGACTATCAAGACCTTAGCTTCATCAGGACCCACCTTGTGTTAGAGGACGTCCTGCGCCCCACATGCATGATGACCTTGCCGGCGCGGATAGACTTGAAGACGGCGATGGCCTCTGCGTGACTCAGACCCGAGAGGGACTTGCCGTTCACCGCCAGAATCTCGTCACCTACCGGAACAACAAGAATGAGAGTCAGGGAGGATTCGGTAACGGGAGAGGAGAGAGTTGGAGATACTGGTGGTGGTGGTGATACTGGTGGTGGTGGTGGTGATACTGGTGGTGATGGAGCTGGTGTCTGCCGTGATAAACCGAGGCATCAACGCTACCTCAAATCCTCACTGACTAATGTGTGAGGTGTCTATATGGTTGAGGGAAGGGGTGGGAGAATGAGGATGGGGAACATGGGGGGAGGTTGGGGCGTGTAAGGGGGAAACATGTGGGAAGATGGGGGGGAGGGAGGGATGGCAGGGAGAGACAAGGCCAAATATATAAAAAAACAAACTCGGCAATGGAACCAAAAAGGGAAATTCTGAAATTACCAAATGCAACAAAAAAAAAAATAGTTAAGTCTTCAGTGGTTAGTTATTTCAGCACACCAATAGTTATTTTTGACCTCTTTTGGTACGAGCGACTGTTTAGATCTTAAAATGTGAAGGTTAAGCCAGTGAGCACATGGACAGAATGAACCCGAGGATCCACCGGGTGTACCAATGTCCTCCCAGGGTCACCAAGATGAGAGCAAAATTCACCCCCAAACACACTACCACCACCAATAACATCAGCTTCAGAAACACTACAGTACACGACGACATACAGACCACATCACTATAATAAAATAATAAGCAGTTAATACCATATTGTTGAGGCCATAGTCACTATCAAGTCACCACACCACTATACTGTAGTAAGACTGCATCATTACCTTAACTGGCACGGTCCTTTAAAACAGGTTTGGCTGCCGGTTATCTTGTGGGTGTGGCTCAAGTTAGTTTTTTTTTCTTATTGAGATTTACTATTTTATTCATGCGTAAAACTCTTATACACACATTCACATAGTAACACACACATAGTAACACACACACATACTAATACACACACCGCTCCATCACCCCACGAAATAAATGAGGGGGAAAAATGTTGGTGTGTAAACAAAGAATCGGTCCACCCCATGGGAAGACCTCCCTCCCTCCCTCCCTCCCTGCGGCTCCTGTTCTGTTGCCCCTCCTCCTCCTCCTTTCACTAACCCTTCCCACCTCCCTTGGCAATAATGCAGAGGGGGTGACGAGGAAGGGGTTGAGAGGGGGGGGTGTTCATGGGGATGACGGGGGGGCGGGGGAAGGTTCATGTGGATGAGGTTCTGAGAAAGAATTAAGGGAAGAGGGAATGAGTATTGGTATTAAGAATTAGGAATATTAGGAATTTCAGGAAGAGGACGAAGACAGAAAGAAGGAAGGAAGAGGAGGAAGACAGTAAGAAGGAAGGAAGAGGAGGAAGACAGTAAGAAGGAAGAGGAGGAAGACAGAAAGCAGGAAAACAAGGAAAAATAGATGGAAGAAAAATGGATGGGGGTGGAAACACTTCACCGGGACCAGGGAACAAAAGCTACGTCACAAGTGAGTGAACCACTTAATTGTGTAAGACGCGACGGGACGGGACAGGGGCGTCGCAAACTTTAAGGTTCACTCCTCCACCTTCACCCTACAAGAGTCTCCACCTTCCCACCCACCGTCGTTTAGCACCTTCATTACCCGAGTGCCCACCCCATAGGAAAGCGACTTTTCAGTTTTTGTTTTTTCCACTATCGAAAAAAACCCCCACGAAGTCCTTACATTTTCAGACCGTTAAGAGACGATAAAATATCTTAATGATTTTTCACCCCAATGTTCGTCGGGGGAGTACCTGAGGGAGAGGGGGGGAAGGTGTCTACCCCCCCTCAGGTACTCTTGCTGGGGGAACCTGCGCGCACCTGGACGAAGGAAGTAATTAGGGGGGACCTGTACTGGGATCACCTACCGTGGCAGGACGTCGCCTCACCTACGTGTTTACACCTTAAATGTCTTGCTACAAGACATGCTTGATCCTTTGTGCTACTGGGACAAGCAAGGCCCTGTGTGGACCACAGGGCCTTGAGTGAACCACAGGGCCTTGAGTGAACCACAGGGCCCCGGGTGAACCACAGCGCCCCGGGTGAACCACAGCGCCCCGGGTGAACCAATAGCAATGAGCTGTTTGACGTCACAAGCTCTGGCAAAGACTGGTTGTTTGGTTCCCCGAGGCACTACTCTTATTGCCCTCACTACACACCCTGACCTGCTCTCCCTCCCTCATTACACACCCTGACCTGCTCTCCCTCCCTCATTACACACCCTGACCTGCTCTCCCTCCCTCACTACACACCCTGACCTGCTCTCCTTCCCTCTCATCCTCACCACACCCTGACCTGCTCTCCCTCCCTCACTACACACCCCTGACCTGCTCTCCCTCCCCATTACACACCTGACCTGCTCTCCCTCCCTCATTACACACACCTGCTCTCTCCTCCCTCCACACACACACACCCCTGACCTGCTCTCCTCCCTCACACACACACACCCCTGACCTGCTCTCCTTCCTAACCCCTTGCCCAAAATAGGACTAAAGGAGAACACACACACACAGTCTTTCCTCCGTCTCTCCCACGTTCCTACCCTTACCTTTCCTCTCTCCCAATCACCCTTCCCTTCCTCTACCCCACCCCACAATCTTAGCCTCCCCGCCCGAGGACAGCAGCAACAGCAGCAGATGTGTGGCGCTGGTGAAGGTGTACCAGAGTTAGTGTTCGTAGCAATACCCAAAGACGCGGATGATGATGATGATGATGGTGGCGGGAAACTGCAGTTCTGTTCTCGAGGAAGACATTATTGACTGTGGTACACTTGCAATAATGATTTTTTTTAAACTATTTACCTTGTTCTACCGACACAAAATATTAGAAGAGTTAAGTGGCAAAAAGTTCATGAATTCCATTTTTAATATTTAGTGTAAGTAGCCCAAGGTGAATTACTCTATAACATTGACATGGAACAACTACCTGTACCTGTTATTTAAAAAACATCAAACGAAAAATAGTGACAGACATTTAAATAAGGTTACTGTGGTCCTTTACGTAAGATAAGCTCAGCTCGCCTGGCCTCGATTACCTTAGTTTAGTGTGGGTCTTTATACAAGTTCTCCAATGCAAAATACTTGAGTAAGTACAGCGTCCTGCCCCGCCAGGTACAGTGTTGATGTATTCTGTTAAGAAATTCTAAAGTTTCAAGTGAGAATTCTTGAAGATATACAATTACTCAATTGTTGTCGAAACTGAGAGTTGTGTTGGGGAATCACAGTGAGTGAGTGAGTGAGTGTGTGTGTGTGTGTGTGTGTGTGTAAGGAGGGGGGTGACCTCCCACACTCGGGCCAGGGTCCCTCTCACCCTCTCCCTGCAGACTGGCACGACCCCTCCCATGCTCCCCTTACCTCCCCAGTTCCCTGCACTCATTACCTCCCGCACGCCCATCCCCCATGCAACTCTTCTCCCAGGATATGACCAAACTTTATCCTACGACGCAAACTTTTCATCTTAAAGGGGTTAACGGTGATCAGACTTGGTGTACTGTAGGTGACTTAAGAGAGTGAGGGAGTCTCTTTAATAAGCTGGGTGTTGGGGGACTTCCGGGTGGACCTCAAGAAGAGTTCACCGTCAGGGTTCAGGACACACACACACACAATTCTTTCTATGTGGCGGCCAGGCTGGATGGACTTCCTCCCAACCCCAGCACGCGCCACCCACACACAAGCACACACCCACGTATACATGCACCCACACACCTCAGTCCCTCATACACCAAAGCAACGTTTGACGGCTCCGGATGGTGATGAGGACCCAGCGTGAGATAGATGAGGGAGGAGAGAAATGAGAGAGAAAGAACACAAGAGTCACCTGAAGAAGATCTCCCCGTGGCCGTATCTGACTTGATAACAAAGGGCCGTAGTAACTCTGGCAAAGACCATTGGAGCGGAACCATTTCTCGGCACGCACGCGCACACACACACACATACACGCACGCACACACACACATACACGCACGCACACACACACACACATACGCACACGCACGCACGCACAAGCACACACACACACGAAGGCAGGTAACAGGGATTTGAATGACAGTCAATTAAAATCCGACGACGAGGGAGAGTGTAAAGAAAACACAATGATTTCCTACTGACAGACGATGAGGCAAAAGAGATGCAAGAGACACGAGAAGAGGAAGAGGGACAAGAGGAAGGGAATAACAGAGCGAGTGACACTAAAACAATAACACGACGTAGGAGGAGGAGGAAGGAACTGGCAGAAGGAATAGAGGAAATGGAGAGGGTGAAGGTGTCAGGAGAGGGTGAGGGTGTCAGGAGAGGGTGAGGGTGTCAGGAGAGGGTGAGGGTGTCAGGAGAGGGTGAAGGTATCAGGAGAGGGTGAAGGTGTCAGGAGAGGGTGAGGGTGTCAGGAGAGGGTGAGGGTGTCAGGAGAGGGTGAGGGTGTCAGGAGAGGGTGAAGGTATCAGGAGAGGGTGAGGGTGTCAGGAGAGGGTGAGGGTGCCAGTAGAGGATAAGAGTGTCAGGAGAAGGGATGAATGAGTGAGGGGTGTTAGTAGAGGGTGTCAGGGGAGGCAGGAAGTGACAGGTCACAGCCAAGGACAATAACGCCAGACAGGTGAACTACAGGACCTCCCCCCCCTGCCCTCTGCCCCGGTCTCAACCCCATCCTGTCTTGCCTCTCCCGCACCATCTTGGAAGAGAAACTAAAGGGAAGTCACAAAAGAAGGGAGGGGAAGAAGGAGGAGGAAATACAGGAAGAGGAGAAGGAAAAAGAGATGAAGGGAAGTCACAAGAGGACTTGTGAAAGAGATCTAGAAAACAGTGCGTTAATGTTCGAGATAAGGGAAACAGAGTATTGGGTTTTATATCTAGAAGTGTAAGTAATAAGAGTGCGGAGGTCATATTGCAATTATATCTTTCGCTAGTCAGGCCGCACCTCCATTATACGGTTCAGTTCTGGTGCCCCTATTATAGAATGGATATCAATTCACTAGAGTCGGTGCAGCGAAGAATGACGAAAATGATTCCGGGACTTGGAAACCTTCCACATC